CGAAAAAAAAATTGAAATTGAAATATTTAGCCGATTCCTTGTTTATATTCTGCCCTTGAAACATCAACATAATATTTATAAATGTTTCTTTAAAAATAAAAACTTTTTTCTACTTGTATAAAAGTTTTTGTCTCCTAACGTTTTAATCCCTCCACGAACACGGACACGCCGGCGTTACAGTAAACAATAGATTTCTTAGAAATTTAATTAATTTCTTAGAAATTACCTGGAGGTGTTAAATAGAAAGATTTTTAATTATCTGTATGTAACATTTATTCTGCAAGCTATAAAAACTCGCATTAAAACATTATTTTCTATATTTTATTATTTCTTGTTTATTCCATTTTTAAAGACTCGTTATAAATAAAAATGAATGATGTCATCCCTACCGATTTTGGTCACGGCGGCAATATCACTGAGGCTAGCCAACTAAACGCAAACAAACACAAGTGCACTATCTATGCCTGTCACTCTCAAAATCCAACGGGACAATACGGCAATTCGGCACGATCGGTGAGAGTTAAGACGCTGGATCGACGCGACACGTGCTTTTAAAGGCACGCGGGGTGAAACACTCATCTCCGGGTTGTTATTGAGAATTTCTTGACAGAAATATTCAATAAACGAATTGGGGCCGACTCGGGACTCGAACCCAGGACCTCCGGATCTGCGACCGAACACAGTGCCAGCCACTAGACTTCCGAGGCAGTTATAAACAATACTAATGTCAAATGTTAAGGTTTAGTTAAAGTTAAATCTGTAAGAAGTCATCGAAATACAAAAAAAATAGCCTTAAAATAGAATTTAAATTAGATAGTTTGTCAAAACTATACACTAGCTTTTGATATTTATAATTTCTTCAGTGTGATAGTAAATAGCCTAAATCCTTTCTTAATATTAATACGTACACTTTAAAAAACAAAAGGAATATTTCTTTAAACAGAAGTTCTCTGGTTTGGATTTTTAGAATAGCTCGTTCAAACAAAAATAAGAATATTAATTTAACTACCCATGAATTATAAAACACAGTGTAGAAATTATGCAATTATAATGATTTTAAATTACAGACTGTATGTTAAATAAATAATAACAACTTACGTTTTTTCAGTCAATTAAACGGTCTAACATTCACATCCGGCGAGTACTGCGGCTCGAGAACTAATACATGGTAAGGTCGTTCGTGTACGATAGATTGTATACATTATGCAAAAAATTCTACACATATTTAAAAGAATATACATTTCTGTTTGTCGAAATTTGAAATCACTTAGCGATTTCCCTTTTATGATGTTCTTCCTTTCAAAGTCCGCCGTTCTCTTAATGTTCAATGTTTGTTGATGTTTGTGTTCAGTCCCCTAAGTAGATTTTTGTGTAAATATCGTAAATTTAATAAAATTAAGCTTTAGAACTAACCCATCTCTAAGTTAAATTAGTAACATACTATTTTTACCCTACTTCAAAAAGGAGGAGGTTCTCAATTCGATTGGTATTTTTTTATGTATGTACACCGATTACGCTGAGATTTATGACCCGATTTACGTGATTCTTCTTTAGTTTGACGCGTAATAGTTGCCATTTGGTCCCATAAAAATTTTACATAATTTGGCCCAGTAGTTTTCATTTTATGAACATTTATTATGAAATTTTTTGTTTACGTGGACGATGTAATTTTATTTTAGTTTGTGGATTTTAGGGTGAATACTTATTATTTTCCAAAGGTAAAAAAAACCGATAAGTAGTTCAGTTCAGTTCTTTATTTACCAGTTGAGCACAAAATTATTTCGCCAATGTCACGTTGAATGGAGGAGGCACGTTCGAGATTGGCCGGTGATACTTTGAATTATTCCATCAAAATACCGAATCTAAATCTACAATCTACAATCGTCTCGAGAAGCAGTTCTGCTTAGAATAGCCGGCGCGAAACTCAAAAGTAGCTCTTTTAAATATTAAGGGTTTTTTTTAAATATAGCCGTATATAAATCAATATACATAACTATATACATATATTATAATTCCAAACATTTTCATCAAAAAGAAACTCAACTCAGAGTAAAATGCTTTAATCAGTAATATATTTTTAATTTTATCTTTAATTTGTGGAAAAGGTTAAAAGGCAGTTTGTAAAATTTTATTATATATGCAATATACGCAAGCCCATAAAGGATTTATTCACTTTTTGGTGACGACATTTGGACGTTACAAGCTTATTTCTATTTCTAGTGTAATAAACATTGTGTAACTTTTTTTCAAATAAATATTTAAATTTTTACGAATAAACATTTTAACAACAATTAAAATAATTTGTTTTATCGCCCTCAAAAGTGGTGAAAAACTGTGTGCAACTAATTATTGGAAAATTGAATTAGCCTCAAACTCGATATACAGAATTAGTCATATCGACTTAGGTTCATGTCATTCGACATAATATCTTAATGAGTAATTTTGATATTTTAGTATCTACGTATTATATTATATATATAAAAAAAAAATTGACAACGTCAATACAAAATTTATTGTGTAATCGAAATTTATTTTAAAATATACCCAAAAATAATATTAATAATTGAATTAATAGTATAAAAAATGTTTTAAAACACAACAAAATCGAAAGTGCATAATATTTAACACCATTCAGACAAAGAAAGACAATAGTATTCCCAAGGAGGGTTGACGTCAGGCAGGCCGGTCGTAAAACTTTTGCCAAATCCTATCAGCAGTACACTGAAGATGTACTGCGCCGACCCCAAGTGATTTGGGAAATGGGCAGGGAGAAGAAGAAGAAGAAGTATTATATTATATAGCAGATAGGCCATTCATCCATACTGTTCTATTCTAACTATTCAGCCTTTCAGATACAGAACCCTAAATGTGAAAAAATCGAAGTTCTTCTGGTTAGTCTTAATTTTGATGCTGTGTGAAACACTCTTTATAAGGTCACATACATATGTATTAATTATTATGTACATAAATATGTAAATTCACGTTACGTAACATTAAAACAATCAAGAGTGATTTCCTTAAAGCTTGATTTAAAGAATCTATCCTATAACAGAGAAGTAGGTATTTCTTTTATTGGTCCTTGAAATATTCATCCAACTTCTTCAAAAAGCAGGAAGTTCTTAATTCGGTTGTATATGTATATTTATATATATTTTTTATGTTCGTTACCTCATAACTCCGTCATTTATTAACCGATTTGAACAATTTTTATTTTGTTTGAAACTGTATACTTCCAATTTGGTTCCATTTCAATTTGAACAAAAATACCGCCCTTAAAGGTGGAAGAATAACTAATGAAAATTTATTCGGAAAATGGTTCGGTATCGTCGACCTGATCTGACGGTAAGACCAGAAGGTGGATAGGTGGAACTCTTCAACGGCCAATAGTAGATATTTTGAGCTTAGGCTTATTTTGTTTTATTTGACAAGATCAATACGTTAGAATTAGATTTTAAAGCCAGAATTTTTAGTATTGCTAATAAAAGCTTATTTTAGTTTGTTAGTCTTCTTATAAAAATGGGCAAGGTTTTTATTTATTTTAATTTGAAATCAGATTTTACCAAAAAAATATTTATTTCAACTAGAATAATTACCCAAACACAATTGGTGACAATTCTAAAAGAATTTACGCATGGGCTTGTGTATCTAGTACTTTTTTGGATCGATGGTATAAAATTATGTAAAGTTGTTAATTGTTTTAGTTTCACAATTGGAAGTTTTCAAAATTGTAAGGTATGGTTTATCTCTTTTCTTACAAATTACATACCCGTAGATTTTGTGAATAGACACCATGTGTAATAAATATAGTTTTTGGGACAATAAAAATGTATACAATTTATTTTAAGGTTGCGAACATTCGTTAAAAGACGAAACCCTCAAAGAATCTCATTTACGTTCGTCTGTCACTCTCAAATCTGTTTATTCACTTTGAATCTGCAGGAAAGGATACTTAATGAAAGATAAAAGACTGGATTGTTTTTCCTTTTTGAACTTTTTTCCCGCATGCAAGTTATTATTTTAATTACTTAGTTGCTTTATATTTTATAAAATATTTAATTCCTCAACGACCGCGGACACGCCAGCGTTACAGTTAACAATAGATTTCTTAGAAATTTAATTAATTTCTTGGAAATTTACCTGGTGATGTTAAATATTTTTATTATTTTTTCTAGTAATAGCGTGCGTGTATCACTCACAAGCAAAGTTTGCGTAATTTGCGTTCGTTGAGGTTAAAAAATAATTAATATTAGTAATAGTAACAAAGAATAATATATAAATAAATAAATATTTTATTATCTAACAAATTTTAATATATTTACTTTTAAAGAGTTTTAAAATAAATATAATATTTCAGGTTAAGATATGTATTTATATGAAGATTCTTTCATTGATGAAATGTTATGAAAATACAATGTTTGTTCGAAAAATGTTATCCTTACTTTATCAATCCTATCGATCGATTAGTTCGATAAAATTAAAATAGTAATAGTATATTCTTTGAATTTTAGGAGACTAAGGTTTTAAACGTCTTAATACTGTATCTTTGCATATCTTAAAAATATTTTAATTGTATTCAATTATTCTTATTTTTTAAAATAAACATGTTTTCTTTATTTACTTATTAGCAGATGAGGGATGATAAGCGACGTGACCAGATGGGTGATAAACGACGAGGTTAAAGGTATTATATTCTTAAAAGTGTAAATTAAATAAGACAATTTAAATAGTTAATTATTCATGTTTAATATAATAATTTAGCATTTTTTACAGTAAATATGTATTTTCGTCTTTAAAAATAAGCTCAACACTTTGATTTCCAATATAAGGTAGGTAAATAAAAGTTTTCTAAATGACAACCATTTTCACCCGAAAAATTCTTTCCATAAGTAAAAAATATACTTTTTATGTACTGAACATTCATAATTAGATACATAAATATATATAATATTGGTTCCAACCCGTTCATCTGCTTATAAAAGATGTGAATATCTTCACCTTTAGTCAATATCTAACTTTTTAAAAGAACCTTCCACGCCCCCAAATATATTTGCTATAGTTTTAGGCTTGCCAGGTCTTAATGACTCTGCAACTCTCTTCTTATTTTCATTGAAAAAGAAGTCTGAATTTGCTTTCATTTTGTCTATCCATTCATCTGAAAAAATTAAAAAGTGCTACAATTATATTATAGAGATATCATAGAATCCGGCTAATGTTATAAAGACAAAAGTTTGTGAGGATGTATGGATGTATAGATGTATGGATACCTACCTCTAATCTTTTACGCAAAAACTACTTAATGGATTTTAATAAAACTTTATAATAATATAGCTCATACATCAGAATAACATACAGGCTATTTTTTATCCCGAAAAAATGTACGGTTTCCGTGGGATAGATTTGTTTTTGTTTTCCGAGAGGTGAACCCGAGAGAAACGAGTGTGAGCCGCTAGTATTTAATATTTAGAAATTAGAAGTCTACCTATCGAGATTAACGCTAACGAAAGGAAAGACGAATTTGATTTAGATGTCGCTAGGATTTTACCATTGCTGCGCCTGGGTGCGTCTATACATGCCTAATATTAGCCTATGCATTACTAATCTGTGTATTAAATTTCATCCAAATCTGTCCAGCCGTTTTAGGACGAAAGAGTAACAAATACACGAGCATACGCACACGCACAAATAAACTTTCGCATTTATGATAGAGGTTTGATATAATAACAAGTTTGATATAATAAAAAATTATAATGTCAAAGTACTTTTAACTTCTTCGTATGTTTTGTATTCTCCACCAGCGTCCTTCGGCAAAGCTTTAAGAGGTACGAACTTCTCCAAAGTTGTTGCTCCTAATGGATGGATGAACAGCATCTGAATAAGCTCTTTCTTCATGAATGGCTTTATAATCAATAACAGTCGATTCATAATAGCCGTTGCGTTCATAAAATGTAAACCTTTGAGTTTTACCAGCATAGCTTCCTGAAAAATAATTAGAGTGTTTTTAGAGAAGTACCTACATCGATCACCAATAGTTTTATGTTTAAAATCAGTACAAAGATGTAACCCAAAATATATTTTATCATCCAATATAAAATCTTTATACTGTGTGCACTTACATTAGGATCCATACTGATTTTAATTGCGGCTCAACTAAAGAACGAAATGCTTATAGGGTGCAAGTTGACATATGATATAACTATTCAATTCACAATGGCAATAAAAAGGTATCTTTACTATGTATTCGCTAACTTTCCAACTTCGGGTTCTTACTTACAAATTCTCATCAAAAATCCCAATAAGTATATTTGGCCCGTCTAGGCCTCGAAACCAGAACCTCCGGATCTGGAATTAACGAGGCAGTTCGGGCAATTCCTAAATATTGGGTAAAGGATATACCTGCAGATAATAAATCATCTGTTGAACTGTCGACAGGTCCAACTTAGCAAGGTGTCCCAAAGTTACACCGTCTAAATCAAACAATAATATCAGTCCTGGCCATGTACCTTCTTCTAACTGCAGGAGGTCAATTTGCATGATGACCACTCTGGAAAATATTTTCTATACATAGCAAATAATAACAATATCCTCCTTATCGAGTTCAGTTATGGCGGCCAATCTCCCTGAGAAGAACCAAGTACTGGGCCATATTACACTTTTTAGGGTTGAAGATTACGTATTTTAATTGGTATACAGGATATAGATCTACAATGCAATGCTCCATTAAGTTTGGCATGTACTTGATGTATGTGAGTTTGCCAAGTTAATTTGGAATCTATTGTAAGGCCAAAATATTTTTCTTGATGTGTTTGTCCAACCGTAACTTGGTTAACACTTAAGGGAGCAAAGTTAGGAATATTTTTATGTATGAATAAACATGCACGAGTTTTTGAAAAATTTATAGTTAATAATTTTAAATAAGTCTTGTTTCGCGTTACTAATTAATTCATGTATGCAGTCACTGTAATAGAATAAACATGTATCGTCAGCATACAGTGTCACTTCACCGGAAAATTTTAAGGAACCTATGTTATTAATGTAGATTCAAAACAACAACGGACCCAAAAATTGAACCCTGAGAAATTCCGCAAATAATATTTAATAGTTTATTACAGTAGACACCGAGAGTATAGTCCGAGGTCCGAGGGGGGTCTTTATATTAATCCGATATTTAGAGCATTTTTGTGTGAATTAATCCAGAGGAAATTCTGTCCGTCCATATATGTATTCAGTTCCTCGTGAGATCGCTACGATTTGGATTCGGAGGAGTGGGATGACAAGATAATGTTCTATCGTGAGTGAGAATTATAGAGCGATAGATGCTCAACGTATTTAAGCGCCAAAACAGTTTTTAATTCACTATAAATTAATAAAGCAACTAATCGAAAAAGTGAAATTAGGTAACAGAAGAAATACTTTAAAAACCTTACAAAAATAGTAAACAGTTTCTGAGATAAATAGCAATATGTATGCAAAACATGTATTTTTCATAAAAATATATTATTGAGAAAATTTTCATCAATCGTGTTTTTAAATTCGGCAATTCATGGCAGGCAATAACGATGTCTAGGTACATAAAAATTATATTAAAAATTAAAAAAAAACCCTGACACAAAAACCTAAGTTCCCTTTAAAAGTAAAAAATAATAAAAAAACTCAATTTTAAAGTACCTAAATATGTACATATTAATCATTCTAAAAAAATTATTTTATTCTTTATTATTTACGATTTTTTTCGGTCCGGAGCGGTCCTCCAACCCGACGTATTTTTTTAGAATTATCATACACATCGACATCGTCAATTTCCATACTCTAGGTATTTCAGATATGATAATTTCCTGATAGAAAAACCCAGTGACTATAGTGGATGGGGAAGGAAGGAATATTTTGGCCCGGCGTGGGACTCGATCCCGGAACAAAATCCAGGAACCAACGAGGCAGTTAAGTTAAATAACAGTCACATCTAATTAAAATAATGAAACCTGCGCATTTAACGAATATCTATTATAGTGCTACCGCTCAGTAATAATATAATTTCCTTCTGTCAGAAATTGGACTTTCCTTGAAATCTCTAACTAGCTTGGGTCTCTCACGTCGTATTACGTCTTATGTCTCGTGTCTCGAATTCCCGGGACTTTTTGTAAATTTAGTTGTCTCGGGTCCCGAGACTTTCGGATCGAGACTCGAGGTACTGTTTTATTAAGAATTTGAGAATAACTGCACTAATTTTGTTTGCGGAAGAACTGTATCGCAGACTTTTTGAAAATATCCCTCGTATCCAACCAAACCCCAGATAATGGACGCCGAACCTAGTACTAGTAGACTACTGTGCACAACGAACCGTTTCAAAGTCAAATGAACAGACTAAAAAAACCGACAATTTACCTAAAATTGTAGTAAAAATATCAAGGGCAACAAACCAGTTGCAGTTGTTTGAAGCATTTTTAAGTTTTCTTTATAATTATAAGATTTTACTGCCAAAAACTTAATTTGTCATTATAAGAAGTAAATATACAAATGGTTTAGACTATAAATAATGATATTAGAATTTGACACGTAAAATATTTGTTTAATATTTTTTATTATTAGTACATCTCGCCAAAAATAATCTAATTTTATTCTGAGAAGTCTTCAAGTCCCAGGAGGTCCCGGGACCCTGGTCGTGTGTGGTCTCGTGTCGCGGGACTTTAAAAACGTCGACACTTCCCAAAGCCTATCTCTAACACTAATGATCTAGTGTGACGGCAGGCCTAAGCTATTACAGATATAGCTATTACAGAGTGCAGGTAGCTGTACTTGGTCTCCAATGCCCTAACGCCGTAACATAAACAATTTGTGAAGCTACTGATATACGCAATGACGCCAATTAATGATTTTAAAACGAACCTGGCCAAGTCCATGTAGACAAAGTTCTTTGTGTCAGTGTCAATTAGTCGCAAGTAGACAACCTTACAGTTGTCGGTGGATGGGACCGCGAGAGGGACATTCAAGCTGAAAATAAAACAACATTTTTGATATCAAAAGCATTTGATAAAAACGATTTTATATTACCTTTACAGTAAAAAGTAAGTGTATATATAATATTCGAATTCTATTTAAATTAAATTGGATAAGTGCGGGACTAATGAATATTAATCATTTTACCCGTCTGCGGTGAAGCCCAAAGGAGGATTATGTGTTTGACCTGTACGTATGATGTATATTTCCTCGTAATTACACGACTTAATTGATTTTAATAAAAGCTTGTTAACCAGCTTCCAAAAAGGAGGAGGTTCTCAATTTTTCGGAATCTTTTTTTTATGTATGTTTACCGATTACTCGAAGATCCCTGAACTGATTTGGATTTTTTTTTGTTTCAAAAGGTATATTTCCCAGGTGGTCCCATATAAATTTTATCGAAATCGAAAAAAAGCGACTTCCAGACACTAAAATGTAAAAAATAAATAAACGGGGATTTCATTTAGAATAGATACCTAATCAGATATTTTCGAAATCGGTGCCAGCCGACAATATTTTAAGATACGAATATGTAATAGGTAAATATGTATTATTTACTGGCATTGCCCGAGGCTCCGTCCGCGTTTAGAAGATCAAAAACCAAATTCTTAGGTTTTACATATTAGTAAATAAATAAATTAATAAATAAATATTTTTTTCTGTGATGCGGTAACAGACAGACAGACGGACAGCAGACAGACAAAAATTCTAAAAAGTGTAGATGCGGTCTTTGTATCGATAATAATGTTCGTTTCAATAAGATTTTCCAAAAATATTTAATGTAGAGATTCGGCTTGGTTACAATTTTATTGTACATATAATAATATAGATTTAATTTTAGCATTAATTTATCAAACAGTGGTTTCATGGCCACGAGCTGCTATTTAATTACTTAAAAAAAAGTAATTAAATATTCCTTCTTCAAAGTTAAGTAAAATATTGTGGCAAAATATTAACTTACAATACATTTAGTATCTTAATAATATTTTCGTCGACGATTCTATTCAGGAACAAGTTATTAAATAGAGTACGTAGCGTGTAATGTAAGTCCAATACTTGTTTTGATACTTCCATACTTTGACAGCAGGAGTGGTATGTGAGGATGAGGTCCAATTCTGTAATTAAAGTCTTTCTAAATATTCCATCCATATTTGAACTCTAATTTCGCCTTCTTCTAATTTCGCCTTCTTCTAATATTTACATCTAATCGGTTAATTTATAAGAAATTAATTGTTAACCGAGCCACCTGTGGCTCCGCGGTCGTGGACAGGTTAAACATTTTTTGAAAAAATCTTATTAAATTTATTATAATTTTTATCTGTATGTTTGTTTGTCTGGGGACATATCACGAGAAAACCACTGAACAGATTTTGATGATATTGGGTATGGTGATAATTGGTTATCCGGTTCAACATTTAGGTTAGAATTTTATTAAATATAATTATGCTTAGATAGACTAGCGACTCACCTCGAGTCCTCCCTATGTTTTAAGGTTAGTAAAGATTTCTCAGAGATGAGATATTTTCTGGATAAACAGCTATCATTGTACCAAATTTCATCTAAACCTATGCGTGATGCATTCCCAGACAGACAGACAAAAATTCTAAAAGCTTAAGATTCGGCCTCTATATCGATAATAAAGATTATTTTAATAATATTTTCCCAAAAATATTTAATGTACAGATTCGGTTTAGTTAGAATTTTATTATACATAAATAGATAGATAGATTATCAAAGCTTGAAATGATAACATAAAAATCAATGAATAAATACCGATTGATCAAGAATTAATAGGTAATTCGAAACTTTAATAATATGTAAACATATAGGTTACCTGTTATATATGGTTCCGGCATATGTGGTTGAGTCTTCAACCATTGTTGTAAGGTTGCGATGTCAGAGGGGCTGATGCCAGTCTTCTGATACTCCTCTTGAACAGACTGCCTAACTATGACTTTGCCTGCCATACTTCTGTAAAACAAACATAGATAGTAAAATAATAATAAAAATATCTCATGTAAACTTGTAGATCGCATAATACATATTATAACCAAATTGACATATTTGATAGTAATATCAACAAATTTTCTCAAAGCATTAAGCATAAACTCGATCATCCTTGATATAATATGTATTTTGCAACCCTCTCTATACACAAAGATTATGTTTAGTTTATTTTACGTATAGTTTGTAATTTTTTTTTTTCACTCCATGTTTACTTATAAGTGGAAACTTTATTGGCTGATGAGAAGAATTGATTGTATTTACATATTTCTGTATTATAAAAGCTGTTTGTTTCCCAACTGATAATAATAAATAAATAAATAAACTATATAATGTAATCTTGTATTAAAATATTTTTCGAATTATATTTTTTAATTAGGAAAATTAAAATTCCTTCTATTTGCAGTCAGTGTATACAAACCCGAGTTATAGATTAATTAGTGTCTCTCGAAAAATAATTTTTTAAAACCTATCGAAAAGAGTTTCAAAATGAAATGTGGATGAGTTCTAAGAGGTAACCACAAAAATATGTATGTACAACTTACATATTTACAAGTAATGTGGGATAACAAACTAACAAATAAAAATCCGTATGTCTAAGTAGCCAAAACTAAAAAAGCTTAAAAAAAATTAAATTGCAAAAATAAAAACTAAAAATAAAAACCGAAGTCGGTGTGCTTTGATTTGTATCGGCTGGCACCGACGTCGAAAATATTTGATTAGGTATCTATAGTAAATGAAAACTACCAATCAGTTATTTTTTACTTTTTAGTGCTTTTTTTTTGGTCGGTTTTTATTATTTTTTTTAAAGTTTTTATTTTTCCCTTTTTAGTATTGGCATAGCCGTAGCAAAGTAAGAAGAAAGTATTGTGATATAAATGCATGTAAAAAAAATCATGTCTTACATATTCACTGTTTAGGAGATCCCTCGCCGAAAGCCAACCTTAAGTGCATCAATCATGTCGTGATGAAGCTTAGAACAGGCTATATACATTACAGTAAATCCATTCACAAAATTTCTGTCTTTGCTGTTTGCTGTTGAGGAGTTCCACTACCACCTCCTGACTCCATCATCAGATCAGCTCAATAGATTATTGTATTATCACTAAACTTACATAAGTATGCAAAATTTCAGCTCAATCGAAAACCGGGAAGTGGGTCAAATTTGACTTCTTATATTGTTAGTTTTTCCTCGATTTCCTTGAGATACCATCATCAAATCCTGACTTGATACTAATGGGACTACCTCGGGAGTATACCCTTACGAACTTATTTTTTTTTTTTAAATCGGTTCACAATTGGGGAAAACATTGATGAACATACACAAAAAAAATACATACAGACGAACATAGAACCTTCTCCTTTTTGGAAGTTAGTTAAAAAACCGTTACGTTTTAACATTTAGTATAGATTTCACAACAATGAGATATTTTTCCGCTGTAAAATATCCTTTATGTTGATCCGGATAACCAGCTATCATCATACCAAGTTTCAACAAAATCTGTCCAGTGGTTTTCTCGTGATGCGTTTCCTAGACAGACAGGCAGACAAAAATTCTAAAAACTATAAATTCGGCCTCTGTATCGATAATAATAACTACATCATCTTAAAAGATTTTTCAAAAAAATATTTAATGCACAGATTCGACTCAGAATTTTATTCTATGTATAGATATTAATGCTAAACGCATTAATAAAAAATGTATTGATTGTTTTTAATAATATAACACAATAAAAATATTTACTCACAAAAATTCTCGTGAAGCCACAAATCAGAGACACGCGCACCATTCACTAACTACAATACCACTAAAGTTGAAATGACGGAAATAAACTGATTAAAATTTTAAAACTGGTATATTTACGTTTATGCCAGATTACTTTTAGTCCTTTTAATTAGTTTTTACTGAAGATTCATGATTTTAAAAGGTTAGCAGGTACATAAGGAATAGAAGTTCGTAAAATGCCCCCGATGTCTTGCCGAGAAATGTGAAATGTTGAAAAATAGTTTTTTTCAATTGCCGGCTTACTGTGACGTTCTATCGGAAAATGTTTTATACAAAAGTTACAGGTCTAGTAAAAATCTACAACTTTTATAAGGTTTTTTACAATAACCTCAAAGTTTTTAATTTTTAATTTCTAGAATAATCTTTTGATTTTCATGAAACTAATGAAATCTAATTTTTGAAATACATATGTATTTTATATTTTTCTTTATGGTTATAAATATAATAATGGCAACACTAAATATAGATTACTAATTAATATTTTAAAATTGTAATAATTATAAAAATAATAGCAAAAATTAAGTAAATAATTTTCCATATTCAATTATAATTAAAATTATAAAAATGTTTAAAGTTAAAATATTGTAATGTAATTGGTGCAATTTTCATTTTGTTGATTGTGGGTAGGCTGTCTGTAACAACTATATCTTTAAGACATGTAACACCTCAGTCTCTCCCGTGACCATGGATGCTGTAAAGCATTCGAAACGTCGGGAACCAAAAATCAAAATAAATCCGCGAAATAATCCGAAAAGATAGTTTTATTTAATAATGTTAAAAAGTTTTTATTTTTTCATTTTTAGTGTAGACGTAATAAGCAGGTAATTTGTAAGAAGAAAGTTTTTTAATAACATATTCGATAAAGCAATTTATTTTAAAAAAATAATTATTATTAATTTTTTAAAAAACCGCTCTACCGATTTTGATAAAATTCACATGGGACCACCTGCGAAGTATACCCTTTGAAACAAAACATAAAAATTCCAAATCGGTTCAGGCACCTTCGAGTAATCGGTGAACATACATAATAAAAAAGATTCCGACGAATTGAGAACCTCTTCGTTTTTGGAAGTCGGCTAAAAATTGGATCAGTGTAAAAAATAACCTATTATAATACACTAGCATTGCCCGCGGCTACGCCCGCGTTCAGAACACAAAAACCAAATTTTTAGGTATACATTGCAGTTTTTGCATTTTTTCTCAAAAATGAGATATTTTCCCACAATAAAAAGTATCCAATATGTTGAACCGGATAACCAGCTATCATCATACCAAATTTCGTCAAAATCCCTCCAGTGGTTTTTCTGTGATGTGGTAACAGACAGACAGACAGACAAAAATTCTAAAAACTATAGATTCGGTCTCTGTATCGATAATAATGTTTATTTCAATAATATTTTCCAAAAAATATTTAATGTACAGATTCGGCTTAATTACAATTTTATTATATGTATAGATGATAATTATAATTATTGTTGATGTAAACGTTAATATTTGATTATATGAATTGGATATAATAGTAGGTAAGTTTCACGATCGAAAATTAAAGCAGTTCGCCTTCACTTGCTACAGATGTTATAATGCTTTTTAAACACGGTGTTTTGCTCTTTCACTTTTCAACCCCCGATGCAGAAAGAGGGATGCTCCTAAACGAATGGACCGATTTTGAATTTGATTTTGGTTCGCTATAATTTATGAAGATCTGTTCAGGCATTTGATGATCATCAGCTCGTTTCCTACTTGACACAAGGGTCTTGCTAACTTTCACAGATCCGATTAATTAGAAATTTGGCACACTGTTACTTCGCTGATATTTCCAAGATATGCTTACCTTCAGTTGATGCTGTAGCATCAAATAGTCTGTAGGATGCCTATTTCTTAAATTCCTCAGCGTGTTCCTGTTCCTCTCATAAAATTAGTATCAATGAGAATTATCTATCAGAATTAGTGTTCGCGAGTAATTTAAAATTAATGAAATAAAAATATATTTTTTTAAGTCAGACACAAAAAAGTTCTAAAAAGTGAAAAATATAATTTCCCTCTTGGCCTTTAAACTTAATAAATTAAAAGTACCTTTTAATATTTTGATGATGAGCGCCGCCGCGTCGGGAGACTGCTAATTGAATAAAATAAAACCCCGAGTACAAATAAAAAGAAAATTGATAATAATAAAGTATTAGCGAGTTCTGAATTCAAACAAACAAACAAACTTTGCCTCTTTATAATATTAGTGTAGATAATTACAACATTCTTATGAGTTTTGTAAATGGTGCTTTTATATAATTACCCAAGAGTGCGGCAAAATCGACTTCCGCACCGGGCGCCCAAAATGTACTGTACACTAATTGAATTAAATTATATTATTTCAAATATGAATAAGTGAAACTTTTTATTATTAAATTAAATTTTATAAAGTACCCTTTAATTTTATTGAATAGTGGTAACTTGGCGGTATATTTTTGTTTAAAATTAATATGAGGTAAACATTGATCCACTATAGGCGAAAATATAGTGTAATAGGTACACACAAAAAATGAGCTGATAGACACTTTGAAAGTTAGTCAAAAATTAATAACCAGGTGCTAGTAAATGTTAATAAATATTACGACCGCCTGTTTAAAAAGAAAGAGCAAATTAAAAATCGTCGAGTTGTATTTTATAGCAAATATGCTTGTCGGAGAAACAACATTCTGCTCGAACTCATCATTATTGGTTACGAATCACTGGGCGTTATCAAAGCTTAATGAGGCTAAAAATAAAGTATTCAATGCTCAAAACAATTTGATAAGGGAAATCACAATGTTATAAAGTTGAAACGATAATTCTAATAATTTAATTATTGGGCAGCAGGTTCTCGACATCAATTTGACTTCAATAAGCAATATCCAAACATAACTCTCCAATGATCCGCCACAATAAACCAACGTTACTAAGCCACATATCTTCAACGAATATCATGATGGCACCTCGGAAAATCGAAAAAATTTCAATAAATAAACAGTAATTTCTGATTTGAGATTTCACTTAGAGAAGCCACCTGAGCGGAAGGTATAACGAACAAGTAGGTATACACGCGAATACTAGTGCACTCTTTAATCCTATTACTTTGAAACTACGGTGCGACAACAATTCCACACGATCAGTGGGGAGATCAGGCGCAGGACCAACGGCTTTACG